CTGTTAACTGAAGAATAAGGTACAACAAAATACTGTGCAGTGTTTAGGACCATGCAGGGGCGGACTGACCATTTGGAAACTCGGGCACTGCCTGAGGGCCCGGGGTCAGTAGGGGGCCCCATGAGATGCCCCTGGTACCTTTTTCATGGCTTTTTTGAGTTTGGGCAAGGACACAGGGGCCCCATGATGCCCTATTGCCCAGGGGCCCCATGAGTTGTCAGTCCACCCCTGGGACCATGTAATATGCAATATAGCAAACATTGCTTATTTTATTTTTTTTATTATTTATTACCATTTTATTTATTTCTTTATTACAATTTTAGTTTTTTTAATTTTTTTTACAGTTTTTTAGGATCCCCACTGGGGGCTTTGCGGAGAGATCAGGGTTCTAAACTCTGATGTTTTACCTTTGAGACAGAGAAAGGAGATTGAGGACACAGCCCTAAATCTCCATCTCTGCAGCCTCAGCAGCACAGAATGAATGGACAGGAATAGCACTGTACAGAGCTTCCTGTTCATTCACAAACTGAAGCATAGTAAACATAGTTCACTATGCTTCCGCCAGGAATGGACACAGTCAGTGATTAGTACCGATCACTGACTCTATTCATTTAGACAAGGCAGGGGTGGGTGAATGGCACATTTACCAGCTCCTTGCCTGCTCCAAATCCTCACAGCATCCTCCACAGCAGCTGGCAGTAGAGGGAATGGGGGAACCCGGCAGTGCTGTGGGGAATGCGGGGGGGGGGGGCAAAAATCACACAGGAGACCAGTTATAGCAGGAGGTGGATAGGAGGGACGGCAGGGTGGCAATCCCCAATCCCCTCCATTTCCTGCCCCTGAAAGGTTGCAGGAGGAAAATTGAAGGCATTGGTTCCTCTAAATGCCATCTCCACTGCCTCTCCTATCCAGGTGTACAGAAAAGCCACACTGGCCCCTTGGAGCATGAGGTCGGTTTACTATTGCGACCCCTGTATGTATACCCCTGCTACACTGTACTGTAAAGCAATCATAATTTGTTATTTCTCTGAATTATTAAAGAAGCTCTGCAGTAGCCACACAATTCATTTTAACAAAAAAATCTTCACAATGCTTTACCTGTAAAAGCCTCCCTTGTGATGACATGTGCAGCATCCCTGCCCTGGAATAGTTAAATGAAAAATACTATGGCTAAGCTGTAGTCAGCTGGGCTGAAAACTCTTTGTCAGGATTCTTTGAGTTCATCCTAATCCTGATATAGATTATTTATGGCCATTATTGGAAGACTGCTCCAACAAACACTCTGGGAAGATCAGCTTCTGGATTTATGAATGTTTATCCAACCAAGCCAATCCTTTGGAGGCTAGCTCAGTTGAAGCTGGTCAGGCTCTCTCTTCCCTGGAGATTCCTCTGGGAAGAAGACTGTGTGTATGGGAAGCAGCTACTTGTACTAGGCCCAGGCATGTGTAATGGGCTGAGTGCCAGAGAAAGAGACACCTGTTGAAGCTGGGCTGGAGAAGATATCCCTTACTGACGTATTTGCAGAGGAGTTGGGCACAAGTTGCTGCCTGAACATTGTGAGAAAGAAAAATTGCCTTGATTGAAGATTAGATGCCATATGGAGCTACAGAGAGACTGTGACTGCTTTCATGGAGTCACAGGTTTATTTGGTTCTCCCCTCATTATTAGCGCTGCTAAAAAGCCTATTATTGCTGGGATTTTTAGGAATCTGTCCTAAGAGTGTTTTTTGTGCCTAGGTTATCATGTCCCTAAACCCTCCTCCCTGCATTTTGTCCATGTTCTGTATTAAACAGTAAACAGATCCCTGGACTGGAGCTCCTGAACTGGACCCCTGAAGTTTGCTGGTGAGTTATTGGGACTGGAAAAAGGGCTGGCAACCTCTGGACAGGTAGGTGGACCTAGTTATTTCCTGTGGCTCCCTCAGAAGTTGTTGCTACACATGCAAAAGGTCTAACACTGCTGCTGGGTGCCACCAAGTTAGTTGTAATTTCAGCAGCCCCAGCAAGCTCTGAGCTGTCACTAAAGTGACAATCTGGATTATTCCTCTACACTCCTTCCATGTGAGCTACATGAAATGCTATGTATGAAGATGAAGAAGGGCAAAGCAGCTTGGCCAGTACGCAGCATATGTAGAAATTTCCAGAAGAGGAAAGGGCTATGATGTATAAGAAAAAGAGGGTTGTGCTAAAGAATTGTATCTTCCTGGGAAAGTCACATATTGTAAGTTTAACCACTTTAGTTCCATAACTTCTCATTCCGATGTCTCAGTTCCACACATTATTTCTTGTAGTTGTGTAGTGTACCCTAATTCATAATACATATTTTTTTTCCTGGACAGATATGTTTTAATTCAATAGCATTTTGATACATACAGCTTTATTTAAAGTTTTTATTGGGGATAATCCCAATCACTGTGTATTGGATTGTTTGGTTACCATGGGCATCATATTCCTTGAAACACATGTGTCGAACACAAGGCCAAATCTGGCCTTCCAAGCCATTCCATGTGGCCTCACACCTCTCTTGTCTCTGCCCCCACCTTGTCTCAGCAGTTGGTAGCAGAGAGGAGGACAGAACTCCTCCTACAGATCCTGCGCCTCTCAGTGCAGTCAAAGCACTCCCTGTTCTCTGTCTCCCCTGGTCTTACCATTTGGCAGATTCCAGCAGCTGACCCCAGCCCTTCTCAGGTCCTCCTCCAGACCCTGTATTTTCTGCTTCCCAGCTTCTTCCCAGCAGCATAGGTTTAAGGGGAGTGCAGTGTGATGTAAGGAAGGGTGAGGGACTCATGACATTTGATGTAAGGAGGGGGGGGGGGTGAGGGGTGGACATCTAGTCTAACAGATACAACCAGCCCTATGAGGGCAACGATAATGCTGATGCGGCCCGTGATGAAATTGAGTTTGACACTCCTGCCTTACAATATCAGAAGGTACATATCACTCATAATTGAATTAATGGGGACTTTTCAGGTGACAAGCAAAATCATCACAAGAACTTTACTTAAAACTAATATGTTTATTTTTTTTCATCTTATAAAAGTCAACACTTAATGTGTATCTTTGTCATGTGACATGGTTCCAAATGATGGAATTAGACAATAAACTGTACATTACAATCTGTGTTTATCCCTTATAACCAACCTTTGATTCCTCTTACAATAGTTGTTACTGATATACAGTACATTCATAGTCATAAATATCCTCATCAGACCCCTTAAGGTCTAAAAGATTCCTTGGTTCCATATGTGTGCAGAAACAATTCAGTAGCCAATGAAAAGGTGGCTACAGTTTTTTGGTGTGTTTTGCAGTTTGCTTTCCTAGAAAAATCTTAATGGGAATCTATAATGATAATAAATCACATTAGTTATTGCCATGTTCTATAAAGCTCAAATACCATTTACATAAAAAATGTACTTTACAGTTTAAATGATAGATTGATGTGCAGTTGTGCTGTACTGCAGAAACCAAAGATGGCAACCCCCTTGGTGGGGTCCACCAAGGGAAGCAGATGCATGGACAATAGGAATCCATGTTAGACTTTTCAGAAAAGACTTAACAAACAAAGGTCATACAGTATATCAGACTTGGCTTTAAAGAGCAAAGATGTCTACATATTTTCTGAGGCATCATGGTAAAACCCCTGTTTACTTTCAGCAACCAACATCAAACAAATTCCGGAATCTAAAGCCTACAACAGATTCACAAGACTTCAAATGTGAGACTATCTTTTGCCTCAATAACCTGGTCCCAGATGGACTAAATTAATCAATAGAGACTTTTTAATCATCTCAATTATTTATTCATTGATATAAGAGGGATACACCCCACCCCCCACACTCCACTTCATCTTCAAATTCATATCTTCTAGTTCCTATGAACTCTTCAGTTCAAACAATTGCCCTAGACCGCCAATTGAACACAACCTTTCTCTTATTCTCCAGCACCCATTAAACAATTCACCCCCACAATACACTTCACCAAATTCATCTCCCTTCCCAGTCCCCTCTTCTTTCATTTCCCTTCCACATGAACTCTTCCCCTGTTCTGCACTTATCTTTTTCCCTCTCCACTTATCTCCAGATAATATACCCACTGCCCACTGCCAGATGAATAAATTTAATCTGACGGCAGCTGACATACAGACCCCACTGACACAACATCAGTAACTTTCACATTAATTTAATTAGTTCCCTAAGAGAACAAAATACCAGCCCACTTGGATACAATATCTGATCCCAGGAAAAGGGATTGGGTAAGCTATGCGCTGAAGACTTTCCAAGAACTTGCATCCGGCAGATTTCTCCCTTCTAGGCCCTGGGGGTGTAGAGGTATTCACACTGTCCCTTCCTGCAGCTGAACTGCTTTCAGGCCTTTGTAGCTGGGCTGGTTCCTCTCCAAGCTTTGCAGGCTGTCTTTCCCTGGTGGACTGCATGGCAGTGGAGCTCCCTCTTGCAGCTTCCAGCCTCCAGCCTGGAAGAACTCCCCTCTTCTCTGGAGTTCCCTCCCAGGCTACACAGCAGCACCTCTCTGCACTCCATCTTCTGCTTGACTCCTCTGCTAGCTAGGCTGGACTGGTTTATCACATTGCCAGGTCCCACTGTCTTAGATTGGTCAGACTCTCATAAATATGCAGATCAGACCCTCCTCATCTCTGCCTACTGGCTTCTAGAAGCGTCTCCATGTTTCTAGAGCAGGAGGATATACAAGAGGATTGACCAGTAGAGCCCTCCCGCCTGCCTGAAGTAATCCTCTTACTAAAACCTATGCTTCTAGGAAGCCTCAAACTACTCTGAACACTCATTTACAAGAGAAGGCACTACATACATTTCCAAACCCAATTACCCCATAATAATGGGATACACACCTGACAAATGTATCTAAAAAGAGGATTAATAGCCTTGATTCTACATATTACCATGTACTATCCATCATTATGTATTTATTAAAGGCAGTGTTTTGAGCCTTCGTATACAGCTAGGCTCCCAAAAAGTCTCACACATGTGGTATCCCCATACTCAGAAGCAGGGGCGGACTGACAACTCATGGGGCCCCTAGGCAATAGGGGATCATGGGGCCCCTGTGTCCTTGCCCACACTCAAAAAAAGCCTATAAAAAAAGGTACCAGGGGCATTTCATGGGGCCCCCTACTGACCCCGGGCCCTCGGGCAGTGCCCAAGTGCTCGAATGGTCAGTCCGCCCCTGCTCAGAAGTATCAGAATGTGTTTTGGTGTGTAATTTCACATATACCCATGGCATATGTGACAAATATCTCATTAAAGTGACAACTTTGTGAAAAAAATTGTCATTTTCTAAAAACTTGTAGCACAAAATACAGAAATAAAGTCAAGTGACAACTTTGTGCAAAGAAAAAAAAAAGTTTTGTCATTTTTTTCAAAAACTTTGGCAAAAAATAAAATCTTCCATGCACTCAATGTGCCCCTCAGCAAATATCTTGGGGCGTCTACTTTCGAAAAAGGGGCCCTTTGGAGGATGTTTGAACTGTCCTGGCATTTTATGCCCAAACATTAGAAGCTTCCGCCACGCATCATTCACTCTTCTAACAACTTGAAGACCAAGCCTTTTTTTGACACTTTTTGTTTACATGTAAAAATCATTATTTTTTGCTATAAAATTAGTTAGAACCCCCAAACATGACATATTTTTCTAAAGCAGAATCCCTAGAGAATTAAATATTGGTGCTGTAATTTTTTATGTCACATTTGAGCAGCCATAGCCATGCAAAGCAGTGTGCTTACAGTATAGCACACGGACACAGACACAAGTAAAACAGCACACAGGTAACCCTTTGATTGCCCCATATGTTAACCCCTTCCTGCCCAGTGCCATTAGTACTGTGTCAGTGCTTTTTATTATCACTGATCACTGTATTGGTGTCACTGGGGATGTCAGTGACACCAAGTCCATTCCCCCCAATGTCAGAATGCCTGCTGTAGTCCCACAGTCCCGCTAAAAGTCACTGATTGCTGCCATTACTAGTAAAAAAAAAATAAAATAAATCCCAGTATATATACCGCCATTTAGAAACTCTATAATTTTCACGTACAACAAATTAATTTACATGTATTTGGATTTTTTTTAGCAAAGACATGTAGCAGAATACATTTTGTCCTAAATTTATGATAAAATTAGATTTTTTAAATATTTTTATTTGACATGTTTAATAGCAAAAAGTCGAAAAAATAGTGTTTTTTTTTTATAGCGCAAAAAATAAAAAATGCACAGGCGATCAAATACCACCAAAAGAAAGCTCAATTTGTGGGAAAAAAAGGATGTAAATTTCATTTGGGTGCAGCGTTGCATGACCACACAATTGTCGTTCTTTATCTAATTTATTAATGGGATGTTATTTACCTGATATATATTTTTGAGAGAAAGGGTCAAATTTATTCCTAAATATTTTAGCTCTATTTCTCTCAATGTGAAAGGAAATTCATTTTGTAATATTATTTTCTCTGACTTTGAGACACTAATATTTAATATCTCTAAATTTGAGAGGTTCACTTTTAAATTTGATAGTTCTCCGTAGTATTTTAATATTTTCATTAAGTTTTGTAATGTTAGCCTAGGGTTTACTACATAAAATAAACATATCAGCTGTGTACACCATGACTTTATGCTCCACACCCCCGATTCCTTTAATATCTGTGCTGTTTCAAACCGTCGATAGTAACAGCTCTAAGGATAAAACAAATAACAGGGAAGAGTGTGGGCATCCCTGCCTAGTTATGTTGTGCATTTTAAACCCTGGTGACAGTGAGCCATTAATCTTCACAGCAGCTGATTGGTAACTATACAAGTTTTTTATCCACTACATCATTCTAGGTCCTATCCCTGTTGCTTCCAATGTATCCATCATAAATCCCCAGTCTATCCTGTCGAAGGCCTTCTTGGCATCTATCAACAGAAATAGCACTGGGGACTCTCTTTTTTACTCTTCTGCAAAAGAAGCAATGATCTTAGGCCATTATCCCTTCCCTCTCTTCCTGGGATGAATCCCACCTGATCTAAGTGTATCCACTCTGCCATTAATTCCTTCATCCTATTCGCTAATATTTTTCCTTCTTTAGGGATAATTGTAATATATGCCATCAATGACTTCCTTCTCATCTGCACCTCTTCTCCAATTGCGTTCATATATATGCACATTTTCAGGATTAATTGTTCCTTAAATTTCCTATAATATCTTATTGTGTACCCATCTGGTCCTGGACTCTTCCCTCCCATCATGCTTTTTAAGGCTGTTTGAATTTCTTCCTGAGATTGTTTTTTCTACAACTAGTGAACTTTCTTCTTCTAATTTAAGTATTCCAGTTGCTTTCTAAAGCACAAAAGCGTTGTACAGAGTCAATTGAAATAAATATACAGACACTTTTTTGTACCAACATCTGGCTTTGTGCGAAACGAAGCACAGCTTCATCATCTGGTTGTTGAAATCTACCCCTAAGGTTATAGTCATTAACACAGATGCTGTGCAAATTTGGACTGTTGTGTCTGCATGAATGGAAGACAGGACAAAAACATCCTGTTTGTCCTTGCATTTCACTGCAAGAAGTTCTTTATTGCACAAGCAGGCTTACTCCCCCTTTCTAAGTTGGGTGTTTACAAGCTACTGGGGGAAAGCCTGCAGGTGCTCCTTGGATTTTGGGCCCCTCTATGTGGTAAGGCTGTAAAAAAGACTCACACATGTGGTATCCTCATACTCGGGAAAATAAGCAAAATTTTAAGTGAAAAAAAAAAACAGTTCTTATTTACTTTCTTCATTTTTCAAAAAATTGTGACAAAAAATTCAACATGCCTCGTACTAAATACATTGGACTGTCTACTTTCCAAAAAGTGGTCATTTGGTGGGGTATTTGTATTGTCCTGGCATTTTAGAGCCTCAAGAGATGAAAGTCACCAGGTGTCTGGGCGTTGGATGATCTTGTGCCATCATTGGGTCTGTGTCACATATCAGGAACTCTCTGTACCCACCTGGGATGTCCCCACCATGCTCACCACACACCACTGTAAACTGGAAGCAGACACACACTGCTCCTCACAACAAAGAGTAACAGAAAAATCCCAAAAAGTAACAAGAAATTCCCTTAACACCTCCTAATTTTACCATGTCAGTTTACCATGATGGGTCCTGGGAAGGAGATTCTGTCATTACCAACATGGGGGGGCATGCGTAATTACCAGGAGGGGGGCCCCTGTTATTACCTAGGGGGGGGGCATTTGATTTGTTACTAGGGGGGACATGTGTCATTACCAGGAGGTGAGTCACCTGCACTGGCAACCATGCCTTATGCTCCAGGGGGCCTGTGTGGCCTTACTGTCACATTTGTTTTACACCTTGACAGGAGGGGTATCAGTATATACAGGAACCAATCCACTCCATTTTCCTCCTGCAGCTGCTGAATGCCTGCTTCTCCTCCTCACCGCCATTCAGCATCTGCAGGAAGTAAATGGAGTTGATCAGATCCTGTATATGCCACTCCTCCTGTCCAAGTTACTCTTATGTATGCTGCCTGGGCCTCCTGTTTGCTTCTGTTTATGAATGAACAGGAAGCTTTCTTCAGAGCTATTCTTGTCCATTCATTCTCTGCAGCTGAGGTTGCAGAGATGGAGGTTGAGGGCTGTGTCCTCAATCTCCTTTCTCTATTGCAAAGGTAAAACATCAAAGATCTGTTTAGACCCCTGATATCTCACCAAAATCCCCCAACAGGGCTCCAAAATAAATAAATAAATAAAAATGAAATAGTAAAAAAAAAATAAAAAAACTACTGGCACCATCTACTGCTCTACTGATCCCGTTCTCTGCCCTACTGACAAAATCTATTGCCCCATGACTAAGCCCCAGTTGGCAGAGTGAAATCCATCAGGGTGTGTGGTGGTTTGGAGACATTTAGGCTGGGGCTGCTCTTTATCGTTTATTCACTTGGGCTGGTCAGGAGTAGCAGTGATCCTTTCCTTTTTACATTTGCTAGCCTTATGGATTGATATGAGGACAAGCCTGCCACCTATGCTCTGGGGCACTTTGAGGTTACACTGTCCACTGACATTCTCCAGTTTTAGGGTAAGCTAAGTTTATTTTTTTTACAGTGACATTTGTTTTATTGTATTTTTTTAAGTTTTCCTTAATATTTAGTTGACCCTTGCTTGTTAAAAAAGGGCCCTGAATCCCAGTGTTTGTTGGTCTTTCATGTTGTTCATGTAGATCTCCACTTCTCAAAGGTTGCCTACTCCTGCTCTTTAGCCACTCAGAATATCTTGGCGTGTGGTGGAAGTGGTGATTGGTAGTGGGGGGCCCCAAGTCAACTTTGCCCCACAAGGTTCAAGCTATGCCCCTGTTTACATGTGATGCTGAGACTCCATGATTGCAATAACTGAAATTTAATTATTGAAAGGGGTGGGCCAAAGACATTAAGGATGGGAAAAAAGATGATATTGAATGTCCTTCAATCAGCAAATAAGGTGGACATTAGACAAATAGAGCCGTGGTTTGGCCCCACTCCCCACTCTCTCCTCATTGGCTCACTGGTGTGATTGACAGTGTCAGCCAATGAGGAGGAAGAGTCCCCATACAGCTGAGACTATTGTGAACATTGCTGGATCATAGGGGGCTCCGGTAAGGATTGGGGGGCAGGGGGCACTGCACACAGAAGGTTTTTTATCTTCATGCATAAAATGCATGAAGGTAAAATAACCTTGAGCCTTTAGAACCACTTTAAGATACTTAAACCATTAGGGAAAATAAAAGTAAAAGTGAGGGACTAAAAAATATGTCTAGATAAAATTAAAATTTGAAAGGAAACAAAACATTATTTGGCATCACAGCAAAAGAGAAAGCCAACAAGGCTCCAGATCTATGTAAAACTGTGATTTAGAAAGTGTATAAAATGTCCAAACTGCAAAGACAAAAATTTAAATCTTGCCTCAGTTTGTTTATAGAAGCAAAGAAAAAGCACAGTGTATCTGTCTGTAAACCAACATCAAAGACCTTTTAGTACTGAATTAGTATATTTGGAGTCACAGTATGAGATCAGACAGTTACTGGGTCACAGGGTTGAGAAATTTTAGAATGAAAGGTAAAGACTAATTGTGGTCCCATCACTTTCAGTCCTATATTATCACATTGTGCTTTACATATGTCTTTGAGTTGGATGAACAGCACATTTTTGGCAACATATCAAGTTTTTAATAAGTCCTTGTGGTCAAAGGTGAATTGCCTAAAGAAATAAAAAGAAAAAAGTAAAACAAAAACTTTTTTTATACAAAACTTTTGGTATTGAAATAATAGGTGTACATTTGGCCGCAAGCTAAAAATATTTCTTGTGCATCAATTATGAACACAATTTCCTGCGTTTTCTTTGTCTGTTTATCTTTGCTTCATAGCAAAGGAAATTACAAGAAAGATCAAATTTCAGTACTGTAGAGTATTTAGGAATAATAAAAAAATATTAGCTAGAATATATCTTCTAGCAAGTAAGTTGCACAAAATGATTATATTACAAACAACAAAATCTATTAAATTCATTGATAGTAACATTCTGGAATTTGGTGTGCACAGTTAGAATGTATCTGATCAAAAGTCACATTTCTGAAAAAATAATTTAATTCTTGTGTTTATCACAGCCATGTGTCACCCATTTAATTAGATTATAAAGTATGTTATAGTGTGTGTGTGCACATGTGAGAGTATGTATTTGTGTGAATATGTTTATCTTAAAGCATATCTCTGGTTTAAAAAGTAAACAAAAAAGCAACCTGTTCACTTTCCACCCTACCTGCACCACCCAATCTGTGTTCTATTTTGTAATAACTCCAGAAAAACTTAATTAAATCTGCTTTTACATGATCCCATAATAGTAGTTACCAGTAATTGGAAGTTCTTCCAACCTGTTTTGTGTCTGCTCTTAAGCTGGGTATACAGAGGCCAAAAATCGTCCAAAAGCAATTTGGCAGGAACCCGGCTGACTTTTGGCCCGCCTGTACAGCTCCTCTTTCCGTCAAAAGCCAGTCTCATGACTGGTTTCTGTTGAACAGGCCTGCTGGAAAACCAACATCTAATCAACATCCATTCAGCACTGGCAGCCAATGGCTGCCAGCGCTGATCAGTGTGTCTTGGCAGGGGAGTACCCCCTGTCAGTATATAATAGCTCAGCGGAGAGATTACAGCATTAATATTGGATGTGTTAGTATGGTGATCTGTAATTTTTTTTTTCATTCAGTCTGCTAGGTTGAACTTAAAAAACTTTCTGTGTGTACTCAACATTGGTTGTGAAGTCACTCCGGAGGGCTTCAAAACAATGTTTTGAGTACATTGAAACATCCACTTCACCAGGAAGCAACATAGGCACTGTAGAGTGGATCCTCCCCCAGTCATGTCACTACATGCCCAAATCATACTCCCCAGTGACAGGATCACTAAAAACTGCAGACAAAGTAGTCACCTACTTCTATGCGGGTTTCATTGATTAACATAGGAAAAATGCCTAGAGGAAAACAATTATACAATAATAATATTTAGCCCAATACATTTTTTTGTGTTTGGTATGGCTTTTTGTCAGCATTCACCCTAAACAAAAAAACTGACAAACTTCTTCAGCTGAAAGTGGAAAGGGTAAATACTGAATAATTAAAAAAGGTTAAAATACTCTTTAGCAGGGCACAGAGTGCAGCAAATACCCAATATGGTGTCTGATTGGATATAGACACAATGGACCCTGCAAAGGAATCAATGTGAGAATAACTGTTGCACAACCCCCTAAAAAAATTACATTTGATACAATGGCTTGTATAATTCACCATATTTATAGACAAATATTACAGAAACCTGGATTTGCCTACTGTAGAATGTGAAATACAGATTTGTGTTAACAAGACTTTATACAGCAAATGAATGGATGATTAGGACACTTATAACTACACTGAACTACATGATGGATAATAAACAATAATTGACTATGAAACTGATCATTCACTATTACATGCAAAAATTAACCTGGAAGCAAAGCTATTATTTCTCCCTATCACCTTATCAATGCCCCACTGTTGGTTAGTGAGGATGCATAATGGACCAATATCAAGGATCCAGTGATGAGAGAGGGATATGGGCATTGTTTCCTTATCAGAAACCCCCCAATTGTTTGGGTCCTGGAGCACTCAGCAACCAATTAGAAGAATGCCCAGATATCTAGAGGTTGCATAAAATATATGGCCACTGATTGGCTGGTCAGATTCGCAGAAACTTTCATGAGATTGTATGACCTCAGCTCTGCTCTGTGCTTGGTTGGTAATGCTAGTTATTCAAAATCACTGTGCACTGATTAAATTTAGCATTGCATTTCAACATTATCGCCACACATTTTTTCTAGAGGCTTGCTGCACCTCTAAACATTGATCCTTAGTGACAAATTCAATTTATTCGTATTATTTCAAGAAGTGCTGCTTCTCAAGTTTCACCCACAATTTTTTGGTATTTAAAAAATAAAAAAGAATGCACAGCAATGATCAATACAAAACATATTATTGATTACTAAATCATAAACACAATATCTAGTAGTAGTTAGACACATTTAACAGTACTTGTTCTGTAATGTTGATGATGTTTTGTAGTTGATGTACATCTGGCTCCATGGATTGCATTATTCACCATATTTATAATACCTCTATCCACTTCAGATACACTATATTTCCAAAAGTACCACTCTAAATCACTGGATTCAGGTATTTCAATCACCTCCATTGCCACAGGTGTATAAGATCAAGCACCAAGGCATGCAGACTGCTTTTACAAACATTTGTGAAAGAATGGGTCGCTCTCAGGAGCTCAGTGAACTCAAGCGTGGTACCCTGATAGGTTACCACCTGTGCAATAAGTCCATGCGTGAAATTTCCTTGCTACTAAATATTCCACGGTCAACCGTTAGTGGTATTATGATGAAGTAGAAGCAACTGAGAACAACAGCAACTCATCCACAAAGTGGTAGGTCACATAAAATGACAGAGTGGGATCAGCGCATGCTGAAGTGCACAATGCGCAGAAGTTGCCAACTGTCTGCAGAGTCAATAAAAGACCTCCAGACTTCATGTGTCCTTCAGATTAGCAAAACAACAGTGCATAGAAAGCTTCATGCTATGGGTTTCCATGGCCAAGCAGCTGCATGCAAGCCTTACATCACCAAGTGCAATGCAAAGCATCAAATGCAGTGGTGTATAGCATGCTGCCCTGGACTCTAGAGCAGTGGAGACATGTTCTCTGGAGGGACGAATCATGCTTTTCTGTCTGGCAATCAGATGGAAATGTCTGGGTTTGGTGGTTGCCAGGAGAACGGTACTTGCCTGACTGCATTGTGCAAAGTGTAAAGTTTGGTGGAGGGGGGATTGTGGTGTGGGGTTGTTTTTCAGGGGTTGGGCTTGGCCCCTTAGTTCCAGTGAAGGGAACACTTAATGTGTCAACATACCAAAGCACTTTGGACAATTTCATGTTCCCAACTTTGTGGGAACAGTTTGGGGATGGCCCCTTCCTGTTCCAACATGACTGCGCACCAGTGTACAAAGCAAGCTCCATAAAGACATGGATGAGCAAGTTTTGGGTGGAGGAACTTGATTGGGCCTGCACAGAGTCCTGACCTCAACCCGACAGAACACCTTTGGGATGAATTAGAGCGGAGACTGCAAGCCATGCCTTCTCATCCAACATCAGTGCCTGACCTCAAAAATGTGCTTCTGGAAGAATGGTCAAACATTCCCACAAACACACTCCTAAACCTTGTGGACAGCTTACCCAGAAGAGATGAAGCTGTTATAGCTGCAAAGGGTGGGCCAACTCAATATTGAACCCTACAGACTACTGGGATGTCATTAAAGTCCATGTGCGTGTAAAGGCAGGTGTCCCAGTACTTTTGGCAATATAGTGTGTCTCCTCATTTTGCCCACCTGTGTACACGATCTCCTGTTATTTGCTGACAATCTACATTAAACATATTCTGGAAAACCTTTTCAACCTTGTAAGATCACTTGACACCAGGGGCGGACTGACAACTCATGAGGCCCCTGGGCAATAGGGGATCATGGGGCCCCTATGTCCTTGCCCACACTCAAACCATACCCAAAAAAGCCTATGAAAGGTACCAGGAGCATCTCATGGGGCCCCCTACTGACCCCGGGCCCTCGGGCAGTGCCGAATGGTCAGTCCGTCCCTGCTTGACACCAAGTGCTGGATTTCTAAAATTGGAAAATGCTTATAAGCAAACAGTGCTTAAAAAATCTAACAGCAGTGTTTTAATTTTTGTCTGCCTATACAAATCTGAAATGTTTTTCTTTAGAAAATCTGTAGCAATATGAATTTACACCTACAATACTGTTTATTCTAGTAATAACCGAGTGATGCTGCTTTGGCTATTTAACTGTGTAATGCACTGATTAAAGGTAAAGTTGACCCTTGATATAAAGATTATTTGAAATAACAGAGTTTATAATAACTACAAAAAAAAACAGTTAGTCACTCTATTACAATATAAATATTGTTTTTATTATTTTCTAAATAAAATAAATAAAAATATGTAAAATTAAAAACTCTTCAAACTATTGCTTGAGAAATATTTAGGTAAGTATGAAAGCATTTAGTAGAAAATGGTTTAATCATAATTGCTTAAAATTTATATAAAGGACAACAGTTTTCATTAACATGATAAATTATGTACGTTGAAACTGAATCTTTTTCTACATGGAAGTTTTATTATTCAAAATAAATATATCAAATATGTTAATATATATTTCCATACTCTTAAAAAAGCTAAATAACGTGTCAGTAGACCACACACTGCAAGTACATGTATATAATGTACAGAAATAATATTTCTTCCACCAGAGGAATCTTGAAGATTAACAGTAAGTAATTATTGTAAGATGTTTTCTTTAACTATTTGCATTCACATCTCCAGCAGAGAGGCAATGACCTTATGTAATTATCTCAATAAACACTGGATTATTTTAAAAAGATGTGGCAGAAAAATATTAGGGTCTGACACATAATAATGTGTGCAAGTCAATTGTGCCTACAGTGTTCAACGCTGTGTAGCAATCTTGGTACAATTATAGCTCTGTGTAGATTCAAATAAAGACATTTGTTTGATAAGCAATGTAGTACATTTATCACAGGTGTACATAAGAAAGTAGAGACACACACAACATGCACATACATTGGTATTAGTCATAAATTTGTAAAACAGAGACAAATTAAAGAAGAGGTTTCGAGACTCTTTAGGGTTGATTTACTAAAGACAAATAAGCTGTTCATTTTGCAAGGGTATTTTTCATTAGCTTAGTGCAGAATTTCCCAACCTTTTTTCAGTCAATGCACCCTTTAAAATGATGCCCTTTTTTGAGGCACCCCATTCTAAAATGCAAAAAACTAAACAAATAACTTTACTCACACAGCAACCTCCACACATGTAGGACTCCCAAACATTAGAGGTAATTTATTCTTCAGCACACTGGTATTGACTAGTATTCCAATGTTTCTCTTCTCCTTAAGTTTCTCTCCCCACAATCAGCTAATGTGAAAAAGGCTGGCTTAGAGAAAGAAGTGAAGCTCCACTGATTTTTATCATCCAATCATGTGCAAGCAAAATTCCTGTTTTATTTAGTTTCTTTGAACATGGATGGGTATTCTTTGAAACCACATTTGCTAATCTAAAGATAAACTAAATGAAAACTCCATTTCAAAATTAAAATTCCCTTGAAAGTGAACAAAGTGAACAGCCTATTTGCCTTTGGAAGGAAGGAAGGAAGGAAAATATTAAGCTATTAAAAAGGAACAACAAATCAATGTGCATGAATATAGATTATGACCAGTTGGTCCCTGGCTTAAAGATTTTTCAGCAAGTGCGCCAAACTAGAAATCTTCAGGAAATATTATTATTATTGTTATTATTATACAGGATTTATATAACACCAACAGTTTGCTTAGTGCTTTGCAATATGAGGGCAGACAGTACAATTACAATACAATTCAATACAAGATGAATAAGAGGACACACCTCCTTAGAGCTTATAATCTAACAGGGAGGGTCAAGTGATACGAAAGGCAATAACTGTGGGGGATGAGCTGATGGAAGAAATAAAGGTACAGTTGTAAGGTGGGGGCAGGATAGGCTTCTCTGAAGAGAAGGGTTTTCAGGGATCACCTAAAAGTGGACAGTGTAGGAGATAGTCAGAGTTTGGGGCAGGGTGTTTCATACGATGGGAGAGGCTCGGGAAAAGTCCTGGCGATGAGTGTCCGAGAAGCTGACAAGGGAGCAGGAGGTCATGGGAAAAGTGAAAAGAACAATTTGCTGGTATTTTGACACTAGGTTATTTGGGAGCTGAGTTGTGGATGACTTTTGTACATTGTTGTTAGTATTTTGAATTTAATTTGTTGGTTTAGCAGAAGCCAGTGGAGGGATTAGCATAGAGGAGTAGAAGACACTGAACTGTTGGTAAGGTGAATGAGTATGACAGCAACATTCATGTTAGTCTGAAGAGGGATAATCTATGTAAAGGTCAGCCAAAGAGAAGTGAGTTACAGTAGTTGAGGAGAGAGATGACCAGGAAGTTAATTAGCAGTTTTATGGTGTCATTAGTTAGGAAGGGGCATATTTTGGAGATGTTTTATGGGTTGAGGCATCAAGCTTTTTAAAGTTATTGGATGTAGGGCCAAAAGGAGAGTTCAGAGTGCAGGATTACACCTAGCACCCTGTCATGCGGAAATGGACTGATAGTTACACCATCAATCTTGACAGAGAAGTCAGGGGAAGGGGCACGTGGGGGAGGAAATAATATAAGCTTGGTTTTGGCTAGATTGAGTTTGAGGCAGTGGTATGACATCCAGACCGATACTGTTAGTAAATTAGTTATGTGTGAGGAGACTGATGGTGTGAGCTAAGGAATAGTGAGATTTGGTGTCATCAGTGTAGAAATGGTATTGAAAGCCATGGGAGGGTATCAGCTGACTCAGGGAGGAGGTGTAGATTTAGAATAGGAGAGGCCTAAGAATAGAACCTTGGGGGAAGGACGGGAAATTGCAGAGACCAAAGAAGTGGTGTTTTTTTAAGGAGGAGTGGGTAGATTGTAAGCTGCAAGGAGCAGGGCCCTCCTAACCCTCTTGTATTGAACTGTATTGTTGCTGTATCGTCTCCCGTTATATTGTAAAGCTCTGAGCAAACTGTTGGCGCTACATAAATCCTGAAGAATAATAATAATAATAATCAACTGTGCGAAAGGCAGCAGAGAGGTCCAGGAGTAGGAATACAGAATAGTGTCCACTGGTTTTAGTCATTAGTAGAGCAGTTTCTGTGGAGTGTTGAGGGCAAAATCCAGACTGAAGGGGATCAAGAAGATTATTCTAAGTTGGGTGGTTACTCAGTTAGTTGTAGACCAGACGTTCAGGGAGTTTGGAGGAAAAAGAGAAGCAAAGAGATGAGGCATAAGTTGTTAACATTGTAGGAGTCCAATGTGGGCTTTTTCTAAAGTATAACTAAAGGCAAAACTTTTTTTTTAGTTTTGGATAGAGTAGAGAGGGATTAAAACCCATGTCAGTTTTTATTGCTGTCTGTGCTCCCGTTAAGGAGATTCACCCTCTCTGTTTCTCCTGTTTACAATTATCATTGAAAGTGAAAGTAAAGAAAATCCCAAATTTGGGTTGTCCCCAGAAAAGTAATAGAGGGGAAATCTTCCCATGGAGACACTTGTTCTGGTGACCTGGGGATCCCAAAGGTATTTCCTTAATTTGCAGGGATTCCTCTCACTTTCTCTTTGACTATGGGGCAGGGAGTGAAGGGAAATCTGCAAAATGGGACACATATGGCAAAAAAAATCTGACAGGGGTTATAATTCTCCCTTGCTCTATCCAAAATTAAAAAAAAGGTTTTGCCTTTCGTTTTAATATACGTATGGGGGTGACTAGTGCATGTTTTAGAGAGATGGGGAATATGCCAGAAGAGAGGGAGAAATTGAAGATGTGAGTCAGAGAATGCAGGATACAGCCAGAGGGTGACATTAGTAACTGCAAGGGAACAAAGCCTGAGGGCAGGTGGTTAGGTGACAGTTAGAAAAAGGTTTAACAACCTCATCTATAGTAGCAAGTTTGACTGAAGTAAGTAATGAGTATACCTGTGAACATGGAATATTAAGTGGGGGAGGTACCTTAACAGTGGAGATCTTATAGCAAATTAAATCAATCTTTTTTTCATAGTGTTTGGTGATCTCCTAAGCAGTGAGTGAGTTAGGTTGTGGAGGAAGTGGAAGACAAAGTAGAGTTAAAGTAGTGAAGAGTTGACGGGGAATGGAAGAGAAGGTGTTAATGAGAGTGATAAAATAGGTCTGCTTGGCAGTTTGGAGGCAGAAATTGTATTTTTAGAGGACAGATGTATATTGGTTGAAATCTTTCTTATACTTTGTCTGACACCAAAGATGCAAAACAGAGTGGCTATGTTTTTTTAAAGTTCTTGTCTCATCTTTTTGCCAAGGTTGTAGGGGTCAGGGCCTGATTCTGTATATAGTGAGGGGGGCGAGTGTGCGTCCAGGGAGGTTGAGAGAGAACTATTGTAGGCAGAAGTAGCTAGGTTGGGGCAGGATAGGGATGAGATTTTATTATTGTTATGCCACTTCCAAAGTAAATGAATATAATAATATAGTATACCCTTATAGCATGTGCTCCACCTTCACCCCTGAAGATGCAAATATCAATGATTAATATATATGCCAATAAATAAATAAATATCCCCCAAACATAAGAAAAATAAATGTAAGTATAATTATAGAAATCAAAGTCCAAAAAATTAAAGTCCAAAAATTAGTAAACCACCACACAAATGTCCCTCAAAGTATCATAAAGTTGATTTCCACAGCATTGGGATCTCTCCAGGAGGGCTGTCTTATTATTGCAGTATATCTGGATGGCAATAAGGCAAGATTGATATTAAGTTTTGGTAAGGGTATTCACTCCTTACTTGAATTAGAAGTGTACACTGTTTTTGTTTGTTTTTGTGGCACTTTTGAGTGGTTCACGAACACGTTTTTTACACTTATTTTCACTTAAGAGTGGTCACGTGTGTGCTACACAGTTGAGTGAATTCACACATTGTTTTTGTAGAAGTATGTATTAAGGATAATGCACTATGTATGATCTCTTTCTTTTTGAGGTGACACTGGTCGTGGAAGCCTTTGGGAAGCTCTGACATTTGGACACTTTTGTGGAAATCACCTTTATGATACTTTAAGGGACATTTGTGTGGTCTACTAATTTTTGGACTTTAATTTTTTGGACTTTCATTTCTATAATTATACTTACATTTATTTTTCATACGGTGGGGGGATATTTATTTATTTATTTATTTATTTATTTTTTGAGGGATGAGATTTTGTCACAGAGGTGGTCAGTAGCAGAGTAGAGAACAGAAGGGTTAGGGTGGGGAAGGTTTCTACAGCTAACTGTTAGGTGCTTGTAGGGAGAGGAGGTGGGAAACAGGGAGAGAGTAAAACTAATAAGTGAGTGATTAGAGAGAGGAAAATGATTGTTGCAGGGCTTATACTGAGTACATAGTAGGAGAAAACAGGGTTGAGGGTGTTGCCATCAGAGTGAGTAGAAGCATTTATCATTGCTTCGGGTCAAAAGAGGAGGTCATACCAATGCAATGTAAACTGTTGGTGCTATATAATTCTCTATTATTATAATAATAATAATGTTAATACTGAGAATTTTAGTAGCAGGAGTTTTAGTATTAACAGGGATGTTGAAGTAATTGAGAATTATTGTGGGAATTTCAGAAAAGAGAAATTAGGGTAGCCAGGCAGAGAAGTCATCAAGGAAGGTTGATACTGGTCCATGGGGCCAGTAGTTTTCAGGAATTCTTAAAGAAAATGGAGAAAATAGACAAATACAATGTGCTTGAAATGAAGAGAGTGACGGAGAGAGAGGTGAGTAAAGTACCTGGAAAGGTGCTATGTGGGGATAGAAGGATTCCCACTCCACCTCCCTTCCTCCCACAGGGTCTAGGGGAGTGAGTCCAGAGAAAGCCACCATGGGAGAGGGAAGCAGGAGAAGCAGTGTTGGATTTATGAAGCCAGTTTTCAGTAACAGTAAGCAGATTAAAGAAATTAGTGGTAAAGAGATTGTGGACAGAGATGAGTTTGTTACAGACAGAGTGGGCATTCCAAAGGGCACAAGAAAAGGGGAGGCTGACTTTACGAAGAAAAGGGATAGAAACTAAATTGTGGCGATTGCAGCTGCTGCAAGAGGCTGTGGGATGATGGGTGCGTTGAGCACAGTTGAATGATGGAATCCTGGTGTTTGTGGATATATTTCCACAGGTTAGGAGAAGCAGAAGGATGAGAAAGGTAATATGGGAGTGTGATTTATAATATTTGTTTTTCTAATAAATGGTTTATTTTTCTGCTCTTTTTATCATGCCTTTCATAGAACTTCACAGTTAGCACCAGCAAAAATGTAGTGTTATTTTAACAGGTGGAAACTCATGCAATAACCTTAAGTGATAAATGATCCTTTGGCCCACATTTTACCAGTTCACTATTTTGTGGTACGAGACAGCAGACTGACAAAGGGAAACTGGTGAACTCTCTGTTAGGTTTTCTATATTTGCTCATCTCTAGTTTTGAAAGCCTGTACTTCTCCTGGATCAGTAAATATCAGGAAATATTTTTTTTTTTCTCTATCTTAAAGTGTTACTAAACCCAGGACCCTGCATTCACTATATCTGGTCTCCTACAGTACACAGAACATGGAAGTTCAATTATTTTAGTGAATATAAATTGCTAAATACCTATTCTCATCAGCAGTTAGAGCAGTCTTGTGACTTCTATCAGTGTTCAGCAGAGCACTGATTAAAGCTTGTAGGAGGAGTTTTCTTTCTGATCTAGGAGGATGGAAAAACCCTGACCTCTGTCTGGACAGTGCTGATTAGCCTTGTGCTGGTCACATGTACTCTACGAAGAAAAAAAAAAAACTCTCTAGCAATACACACTAAACTGAGCATGTGCAGAATGGCTACAGTTCAGTCTGTCTTATCAGCAGATAAGACGTGGACATTTGAACAAGAGGAAGAGCAGAGAAGTCAGGATGAAATGGCCTTTTTACACAATGCATGGTATTAACTCCTTAGGTTCCACAGTGAGTATAATAAGCATGCTTAACTGCATATACAAACTAATTTAACTGTTGTGGGTTTAGTAACACTTTAAGTGGCTTATTTTTCTGCCCCTTTCAACATGTCCTTCATAGAACTTCACAGTTAGCAAGAATAAAGTGTTATTTTAACAGGTGAAAACCCATGCAATAATCTTTGTGGTTAGACCTCTAATATATGAAAAACACCACAGACAGCAATAATACAGAATGTGGCAAATTTAACTGATCCATTAGATACAGACTTTAGTAAATATCAAATACTAATAAATCATTTTAAGCATTCATTTTTTGAATTTAAATTGTATTTTTACTGCAAGGTAAGAACACTACAAAGAAATAGAAAAGGCATTTCAAACTGGGGTATTGTAAAACACTGTTTGCAGCATGGCATCTGCATTTAATTTAGACATCAGTTCTGCCCTGTGTCTTGGTTTCATACACTGTATGAAGCTAAATTTTTAGAACGATGGCCATGTTTTCCCATTCAGTCAGAAAAGAAGTTGCTGGAGGTCCTTAATGATAATTGTGGTTATATTCCCTTATCATGGCTAGAATTGTATTACTGGAACTTGTAGACACACAATCTTTGGTGCCAAAAGCAACACCCATCTGCTGACATCACCTATATTAAACAGTAACATTTATTTTAGAGAGGAAACCCCACATTTGACAGTTCACCAAAACTTTTTCATATTAGTTTTTCCTCTTACCTTTTTTTTCAGGAAAAAATTTAAATTTCCATCGTTTTTCTGTTATATCACCAATGTTCACCAAAACAAACAGAAGGAGTTTTTTCCAATGGTGGCAATAAAATTTCAATAGAAGTTCTAACTTTTGAATCTACCCAAAGTTAGAAAAAATGTTTTGGTTGGTATTGTACTTTAATTTTTATTGCTTTATATGTGAATACAAGACAAAGCATATTGCCAAACAGCCAATTATTGTATCTGTATTTACCACCTAAGTATCAGCAGATTTCTCAATTATTCTTATGTGATTTTTACTGAAAATGCCTTAGCACTGCTTACCTTTTTGAATACAAGATTTCTTTTTTATCATTGATGTTGTATTTCTTTTAATGGGTTATTTTAGTGTCATTATAAAAACCATAAAATGCACATCAAGCTGTAAGACCTACAGATATAGTCCTTGACATCTTTTAAGAATAATAGAGGGAACAACTGAGAGAAGGAAGAGACAATAAAAGGCAGACTCAATTAGCAATATTACTTTGTGAATGGTTTTACCTGGCACTTCGCATGAATAAACACTGGCTGGTGTAATTTTGTTTTAAAGAGCATTTATATTATATTACATAACATTAAACTAAGTGTTTGGCACCTTTAGCCAAAGAGACATCCATTATGACATAGCCTTTGTAACAATATGCATAAATTAACTAATGGTGGTCTGTAATTTCAGTTTAACTGCTACCCTTGTCACAGAGGACATCAAAGTTTATATGTGGGAAAAATTATAACAGCAAACATTGTTATTCTTTCTACTAATCAAACATTTGAATGTTTATTGCATTGACAATTTTATGAAATATGGATTTATTTGATAAGGCCGGGCAAAGAGCAACAACGATGTACAGTAGCCCATAGCATCCAATTAAATTTTAGTTTACTAAAGTTATTGCTGTGCTAAATTAAGTGTGATTGATAGTTATAGACAGAAGTATATGCAGGAGGTCAATTCCAAAGAAAGGAGACAGAATTAGCTGTTAAAATATTGTTTTTGCCACCCCAAATCATATAAACTACACTTACATTTGAAAAATGGGAATTTGTATGCAACAATGAGATTGTATACAACAAAGGAAAACAACTGTGTAAAAAGTACCACATTTTATTGTATAGATATCATAAAAGTATTCATCAGATAGACTAATTTAAAGCTTATGTTTATAAAAAAAAATACAAAATAAGCACAAGAACATTACTTCTGAATGATGTGTTCCTTGTGATTCTGTCTGCTAGTTTAGTAGTAATCTTCCTCTTCCAGTGCCCCCATCCCCCACCATCATAATCTTCCAGTGTGGAAAAGGTGAATAGAACTGAGGAGCTGTCACAGCAGTCATCAAGAGTACCTGACTATGCCCGCCCTTTTTGCCCAACTCCTCCCTTCATAAAATCCGTACTACAGCTTCTATGATCTATGAATGGAGGACAAGTGGTTGATGAAACGTATGTACAAAGATGTCCTTTATAATATCCAGACAATAAGCAATACCCTCTAGTGAATGGGACTTTAGGGCTACACTCAAAAAAAAAGTTTTTTAATATATAAAAAATACAGGATTTTTATTCATACTAAAGATTAAATATAGCTGTTAAAGGAACCATGGACATCCAAAAATTGTGGCACAGACAGTATTTATACATATGCATGACTGATTACTACATACTAATGTACGTATGAATTTACATTTACATCCCAGCCACTCTATTTAAAGATCCCCAGCAGTACCACATTCTTGAGATCATTTACCCTAAGGCCTCTACTGCATAAATGGGTCAAAACAGCAACATCTTTTATCATAAAAAAAAAGATAAAATAATACACAGTGCAGCGCAACAAAAGCAATAAATGGGAAAAAAATCTATAAATTGCATAAGCACATTTCATCTCTCTCCTCTCTCTATAATATATATATATATATATATATATATATATATGTGTATATATATATAATATAAATAAAATAAAAATGATCAGGGGAAAATCATACTGAAGTATAGTCCATTGACCACCAAATAATTAAATTATTTTTGTGTCCACTCCTTATTATTAAATTACAGTCCACAATATTTCCACTTGAGATTATGTATCTCCACAATATAGTGCGTTTTAATTCATGCATGCTCCAACAAAAACATGCAAAAACGTGCTCCACCACTGTGAAGGACCTATGAGGAAGTTACTGTACCATGTAACAAAACCCATCAGGGGGTGTAATCACGTCACGTCATCACACCCCAAAGTCTTTGAGTGGCCATCTTAACATATCCTTTTCATTGACGTCCATGCTTAAAGTGGATTTCCACTCACCCTGTCAAAAAATAAAAATCAGCAGCTACAAAAACTGTAGCTGCTGACTGAAGGAATTTAAACACAGCCACTTACCTGTCCCTCGGTCCCACGGTGTGTCCCCCCGCAGTCCGTTTTCACCTAAGGCTGTCCTGTATTCCAGGAGGCCAGCATCTTCAGTGTGGGCACCTGGCTGTGATACTGCTTGCGGCTTCACAGCTGTAATATTCTGGTACCCACTGCGCATTCACGAGTAGCTCTGCTCTTCATGAATGGTCCTGTAGTCTTCTGGGACTGACTGTCACTGTCCCAAAAGACTACAGGAAGGGAGGACACCTGTCTGTTTCTGATCGCCTAGTAATCGGACCCGAAGTGGGAGTGGGTTTCTGGTACCTGTTAAAATTTGGGTACCTGCTCCCCACCGCCCCCCCAAAGGTGCCGATCCTTAATGGGGAGCAGGGGAGCAGTCCTTAAAGTGGAACTTCCCCTTTTGAGTGGAGCTCCGCTTTAAGGGAGAAATTTGGATTATGTTTTAAAAAGGTGATCCTTATCTAGTGCACTGGATTATTTTGTGTGCTTTATTGTGAGTAACATTCTCTAAGTAATTATTCTAGTGAATAAAGCTTTTTAGTGGGTTTATACTACACCATGAGAGTTTTTCTATATCTCCTGTTGAGTGGGAAGGAGAGAGAAAATGTCTTTTGTAATGTATTGATTTTTTTCACATTTATTATTATTTGGTTGTGATTAACTTTGTATTTTTTATTTATTCTAAGGTGTGGGAAAGCACATCAGTGAATAGCGGCAACACATTGTTCTACAATTTATTTTCTTTTATTTGGTTTTTGCTTATTTTTTTTTACTAATATTTTTTGGTTTTCTAAAGGCAAATTGGATGTTCACTTTGCAAGGGAATTTCCACTTTGTAAGAGAATTTTCCTATATTTTAGTGCATAAGCTCTGCCACATTTTCTCATCCAATCATGTGCATGAAAAAATAATATTTTTTCCCCTTGCACATTATTGAGTGTTCTTGCAAATTAAATTTTCACCACATTTACTAGGCTAGGGGATAATTTTCTTTCAAAGTGGACAGTCTATTTGTCTTTAGTAATTTAATATCACAGAATCTTCTGGGGCACTCTGCACACAATATCAGATATACCACATTTAAGGATCTGTAGTTAAAAGGACCCAGTATTCTGCATTCCTGCCGTGATCCTGGTATGGTACTCTATCAGTGCTACTGATTAGTGTTGCGCTTGATGTTCGAGTCGAACGTAAGTTTGATTTGAACACCGGCCGTTCATGTGTTCACCAAACACATGAACAGTAAGGGCATTTGATGGGCTGTTCGCCCGACAAGCGCCCCACAGTGCACTGCGCACTCACACACACAGTGCATTGTGAGAGCCATGATTGGCCAAAGCAATGCACCTGATCACAGGTCAGGTGCAATGCTTTGGCTAATCACAGCACAATTCACTGTGAGAGCCATGATTGGCCTAAGTCACAGAGACTTTTGCCAATCATGGGTCACGGCT